TCTGGATGATATTGTTATTGTGATGATGAGGGGCTGCACGCATGCCTAATTGGGGTTAGTGCACAATGAGTTTCTAGTCTGTTGAGCTCCAGAAAAAAGTCATCTCAAGGCAGAAGACGAGTTGAGATGCTTGCAAGGGATTGCACATCAGGTTGTGGTACTTGTACATCCAGTCATGGTGCTCACTGAGGGTCACAGTCCTTTTATTTATTATACCTGTGCACATGTGCGTAGTTTAAGTTATGGTGCTCATCTGTGTTTTGATTGCAGTGCTCACCAGGAGCCCCTGTGATGCTCACACAAGTGTTCACCACTGCTTGTATTTCCTGACCATGAGGCATGGACATCATACCTGTCCATGTATATGATGGTTTATTTTGGGGCTTTCAATTAGTTATGGCATTTGCCAGTTTGTTGAATTGCTTAGCTGTACCTTTTTATTGTGCAACTACAGTTCACTAGTAACATAAGGGACCACAAACAGGAGAGCAAGCATCCAGGGTCTACCTTGAGGATGTGATAACACTAAGTATTGAATCTGCTTGCAAGGCTGATGCTTTTCCGCATTCGCCACTGAGCTATTCCCCTTGTTGTGACTATTTTGAAGTACTGAAAACAAAGGGTATTTTGGCCAAAATTTAGGGGAAAGGAAACCAGGAAGAGTTGCCCTCATGGATTCTAATATGATGGGGATAGAGTCTAAGGCATTATCACAGAAGTAGTGTCACCAAAGCAAAGCCAAGTTCCCATACAATTTTGGGAACCTGCTGGTATTTCTCAGAGGATCACAAAATTACTTAGGGAGGAAACTAGACTTGAAATAACATAAGGTTGGAACTTGGTTTGTGGTTCTTTGTATAGTTCTAAACAGAAGACTGGGAACGGACTACTTGGGTATAAACAGGGCCTCATCTGAATATCCACTTGAAAGTCTAGGCCATGAGTTCTATTGTCAAAAGATCCTCAGTGTAGAGTTAAGGTAAAAGGATCACTTTAAGATTCAAGGCCTTTTTCAGTGCATTAAGCAAAGAGGTCACTGAATGAGGGTTTCTAGCCTTTTGAGGGTCAGAGAGCCAAGATATCACCTCAAGGCACAAGACTGCATGAGATGAGATCTATTTTATTATGAATGTAAGTGTTTATTACATGAATGGATAGAACATGCAAAAGCTTCTGAGATGTGGTGAATTTTAGAAAAAATTCTAAAATCTCTGAATGCTGAGGAGTGATGATATATACATATATATATATGAAATACTTTTCTAATTTTAGGATTGAAAAAAATTCAGAATAAAATTTTCTTAGGCTTTTTATTAAAAAAACTACACAATTTTTATTTTATTTATTTATTTATTTTTTTGTTACTCCTGGCTTGATGCTTAAGGATAGCTGGTACCGAAAGAGAAAGCCTTAATTTCCCTTAACCAGCTGCTTGAATAATCTTTTTTATCTTTATTTTTTAATTTTATTTTGTTTTATTTTTTAATTTTTATTAGTGAAACACCATGAGTCTACAGTTGTAGGCTTACAAATTTTTGTGCTTGGGTTTCAATTATACAATGATCAAGTACCCATTCCTCCACCAATGTCTATTTTCCACCACCACTGATCCCAGTATCCCTCCCACCCTTCCGTTCCCCCATCTCACCCTGCCTCTGTGGCAGGGCATTCCGTTTTTTTCTCTCTCTCCTTCTGGGTGCTGTGGTTAGCAAAAGAGGCATTGAGTGGCAATCATGTTCGGTCTATAGTCTACTTTCAGCATGTATCTCCCATCCTGGAAGGATCCTCCCAACACCCTTTATTTGGTGCTCCCTTCTCTATCTGACCTGCTTTTCCTGCTAGCATGTGTGGCTGGCCTCCAAGCCATGGAGTGAACCTCCTGGTATTTATCTCAGCTATTCTTTGGTGTTAGTCTATTTTGTTACTTTATGTTCCCCAGATGAATGCAATCTTTCTATGTCTGACCCTCTCTTTCTGACTCATTTGGCTTAGCATGATACTTTCCATGTAGTACCACTTGTATGTAAATTTCATGACTTCATTTTTTTCTAACAGCCACATAGTACTCCACTGAAACTACACAATTTTTAATTGTTCATTTTCTGTGGATGAAGTACTATAATCTGCATTTTTCAGATGATAAAACTGAAGTTCATTAATCTTTTTTTCCTAGATTATAAGCTTAATCATTGCAAGCTTGTTTAAAATGCATAATGTCCCCTGTATTATTCTCCTTACACATATCCAAATAAAATAATTGTGGGGGAGTATATTCTGAAGGCACACCCAAGAACCTAGGAATAATTACCCAGTAGTGTATATTTGCTTTCTATTATACAGAGCTACTGTACTATCCTTGAAGTGATCAAGTTCCTGACCTGCTGGCACAAAGAAAAGGGATATGGGGGAGCAGAAAGCAAAAATCAGAGGAACAAATGTCTTCTCTAGTATATTGAACCAACAAAACGAACATTAAGAAGGACCCTGTGTGTTCGGAGATCCTGTGTGAGAGAAACTTGCTTCCCTTCTTTCTTGCCTCGAGCCATTTAAGAATTGAGGAGGCACCTGTTTTCCTTGCCCTAAGAACATTGTCCTCATTTCTACTTGCTCTTTTAACATTTGTTTTAGTGACTGGAGAAACATTTGCTTCTCTGCTTTTTTTCCTTCCTCTGGAGGTCATTCCACTTCCTCTCCAGAACCTTTGTGCCTGCCCCCACAAAGGTGATTTTTGAGTTCCAAATTATTAAAAACAGACAACTAAACAAGCTACGAAATACATACATATACTTATGAATGAACATACAAACTACTTTTATAGATAAAATCTGCACTGCATATTCAAATTTTGACTAAATTTAAATATCACAATAGACAATAGATTATTAAATCTTTAGGGGGAGAATCTGTCTCTGTCCTTTCTTTATGATCTATTTTGGTGCCTATTTGCTGATTGAATATTTATTGAATGAGTGTTACAAAAGAATCTGTCTCTTTAATATATTTTCCTTTAACAAAGAGCCTGCTTGATTTGAGATAAGTATTTTACTAATTTTTCTTTTTTGACACCTTCTATTTTAATCTAAAACCCACCAACCTAGCAAAATATGATTAAATCCCAAGACCTTCTATCTCACTTGCCTTTCAAATAAAAAATATTAAACTAATCACCAAAGAAACTGACTCTAGATAATCATATAAATCTTTATCATCACAGTATTTTTTATAAAAAGATTAGAAAATAATTTTGTATGTGAGGCTGTTTTTGTTTGTTTATTTGTTTTTTTTTTCTGCTAACACCAGTAGTTCTTAGGACTTACTCCTGGATCTGCTCTCAGGGTTCGCTCCTGGCAGTACTCAAGAGGACCATATGTGGTACTTCGGATGGAATTCAGGTCAGCGTTGTGCAAGGTATCTTATCATTTGGCACAGCAAATGCTTGTTTTATTTAAAAATTTTTTTATTAAATCACTGTGAGATAGATACTTACAAAGCTGCTCATGATTGAACTTCAGTCACAGTATTCCAACATTCATCCATCCACCAGTGTACATTTTTCAGCATCAGTGACCCAGGGTTTCCTCCCATCATCTCCCACCCCCTGTCTGCTTCTATGGCAGGTGCTTTTCTTTCTGTCTCTCTGTCTCTGTCTGTCTGTCTGTCTGTCTGTCTGTCTGTTTGTCCCTCTCTCTCTTTCTCTCTCTCTCTCTTGATCTCCCGCCCATTCCCTTTTGGGTATTGTGGTTTGCAATGTTGATACTGAAAGGTTATCAAGAATATCCCTTATCTATTTTAAACCCTCAGATCTTGTCCAGCGTGATAATTCCCAACTATTATTGTCATACGCCAGCATTCTTAAAAATCTGAGTTAAATTTATCTTAAAAATTATGTCATCTTACAAATTATTCAATGTAAGGAATAGTTAAAAAATAAAAATGTCTTTCTGGGGTAGGTTCACCTGGAAACCAGGTCCAGAATCTGCTAAATACATTTTTATGTTGAGTTTTTAAAAGACCTTTTAGAGACAAAAATGCTTATAATTATATCCCACCCTATGAGAAAAAGCTGTGGTTTTAAAAGACCTTTTAGCCTTGCAGTTTACCATTTCAGAAAGGTCTTGAAGAGTCCTCTAGGAAATTCTACTATATTTAGATATTTTGATAGCGAAAAAGAAATCTGAAATCTAATGACACATTTGGTCAGAACATACTATCCATAAAATAAAATTTCTTTACTACGAATATGCCATAAACTTTTTTCCTAAGGTATAAATTTTAAGAATATGTTTGTAATAAGCTATATTTACAACCATACATTACTTTAGAGTTGCTTTATAACATTTTCCTATTAATTGACAGTGTCTTTCAAAAGAACATACTACAAAGCATTCTTGATATGTATGTGTGCACATATATTTTAAATTAATAAGGTAGTGTTAATTTATTTCTACTTTGGGCTCTTAAGATTGACACAATTCTATTTATAGCTATACATTATATAATATTATATGAATAATAATCTAGTATATCACCTTTAAAACTTATATGACTTCTTGGGCCAGAGCAATGTGATACAATGAATGATACGGCAAATGTGCTCTTGCCTTGCACACAGCTAACTCAGATTAAATCCTAACATCCCTTATGGTCCCTCGAGTGATCCCTGTATGCAGGGTCAGGAGTAATCAGAATTTCCAGGTGTGTTCCCCAGATAAGCCCCCAAAATAAATTAAAAATAAAATTGATATGATTTCTGTAAGTACTAAGTTATAGTCTCATTTTGTCTGTAAGCAACACATTCATTGACTCAAAAAAGTAATCAACTAGGGCAAAAATTAATTTTCTAGCTTTGAATCTTATGATGAGAATAAGAATAGTAAAAGTTCATATTCACTTAATTTTACCTAAATGGAATATTATAAAGTCAAACCAACAGAAATTTAATATTTATTACTTTTATTTATTGCTTGTGAATCAAAATACATGTTTCATTTTAGACATACCTGGGATTGTAGTCACTGTAGTCCATGTTTATTTTATCTGAAATATATTAAAAATAGACAAATTAAAAGAAATGTTTATATTTATTTTTCTAAAGAGTGCTAAATCAAGTCATTCCAGCACCCCAGGAATGGAGCAAAGATATCTAATTTAGGGAACCATACTCCTTCTTCCTAATTTAGGTACAAACACAGTTTATCTGGGCTATGCAGTAGAGCCCAATGTGTGATATTTCTACTTAAGGTAAATAAGCAACCGAGAACTCTTGGATTCTTTGCTCTGTGTTTCCAGTCAGCAATGAGACAAAACTGGGTTGTCTATGTCTGAAAAACTACACTTTTGTTTCCACCTTTTCTAGTGCTACTTTGACTAGGCTTTTATTCATTATCCTATTACCTTCTTTCCCCGGCAACCCCTCCACAACCAATTCCCTAGAAGGTTGCATGTCTTTTTGACATGTCCTTTAACATTTATTGTATGTGAACAATCAGATAAAAATGATCTTCAGAGCCGTTCCTCCACTCTCTACTCACTCATGCGGGTACCCACCCGGCGGCAGGGCCCCTTCCCAGAGCCATGGCCGCTAACGCGGCCGCGAGTTTTTCTCCCCCTACATATCCTATAGGAACCATAAGTTACCTTCTTAGATGGAACTTTCACTAGGATAACTTAACCACCAGAAACACATTAGCCAATAATTCATTAAGCCCATCTCAAAATTTCCTATAAAGGAGCATCCTTAAGATTCACAGCTGGTTTGTCTGATGAAACACTCATGGCCCGAAAACAGTGGTGGGGTATAGTGAAAAAACTCAATGAAATAAATGCCTCACCAAAAATACTTTACCCAGCGAGACTCTCATTCATAACAGAAGGAACAACACACAGTTTTGCAGATCAACAACAGCTCAGGAACTTCATATACTCAAAACCATGGTAACAAGAGCAACTAAATGGGCTACTTTAAGACAAGACAGGCCCCTCAAATACACCAAATTTCAACAGAAAAATAGGAAAAAAAACCCATAACAATAATCTCTCTCAACGTCAATGGGCTAAACACACCAATTAAAAGACACAGAGTGGCAGGATAGATTAGAAAATTGAACCCAACATTCTGCTGCCTGCAAGAAACACATCTCAATAGTCAAAGCAAACACAGGTTGAGAATCAAAAGCTGGAAAACAATCCTACAGGCAAACAGCTACCCCCAAAATGCTGGGGTAGCCATCCTAGTATCAGACCACATTGATTTCAGACTGAAGAAGGTCACAAGAGACAATGAAAGCCATTTCTTATTGATCAAGGGATCTGTACAAGAGGAAGAACTTACAATACTAAGACATGTGTATATACACCAAATGAGGGACCAGCAAATTACTTAAAATAACTACTCATAGACTTGGAGAAAGACATCGATAGCAATACAATTCTAGTGGGAGACTTCAACACCGATTTATCACCTCTTGATAGGTCAACCAGACTCAAGATTAGCAAGGACATACTTCATCTGTGGTAAAAAGTGGAAGAAAAGGACTTAGTAGATATAGCAGAACACTTCATTCTCAAAAAGCTGAACACACATTCTTCTCAAGAGTGCATGGAACATTCTCCAAGATAGACCACATCTGAGCCACAGAACATGCCTTCATAAAATTAAGAAGATAGAGATTGTATTAACAATGTTCTCAGATCACAGTGCACTGAACTTTGAAGTAAATCACACACACAAACTAACTCAAACAGCTGTAAATTTAAAAGTTCACTATTGAACAAAGAGTGGCATAGAAAGGAAATCAAAAAGGAAATCAGAATATTCGTGGAAACAAATGAAAATGAGGACACGAGTTACCAAAACTTATGTGACACAGCAAAAGCTGTGTTAAGAGGAAAGTGTATAGCTCTACAAGCATTCCTCAGGAAGGAGGAGCAAGCCCACATAAGTAACGTAACTACACAGCTTTAGAGCTTGGAGAATGACCAACAAAAGGAGCCCAATCCGAACAGGAGGAAGAAAATAATAAAACTCAGAGCAGAGTAACGAGATGGAAACCCAATAAACTATCCGAAAGATCAATGAAACCAAGAGCTGGTTCTTCGAGAAAATAAACAAGATCAATAAACCTATGGCAAAACTCAAAAAGAAAGGGAGAGAGAAAACCCTAATAAACCAAATCAGAAATGAAAAGAGGGTAATTACAACAGAAACTACAGAAATTCAGAGGATCCTTAGGGAGTACTTGGAGAAACTTTATGCTACAGAACACGAAAACCTCGAGGAAATGAATAAATTCCTAGATTCCTATACCCACTCAAGGCTGATCCAAGAAGACCTGAACAGACCTATCACCATCAAGGAAATTTAAACAGTAATAAAAAGTCCCCAAGCACAAAAGTCCTGGCCCAGATGGATTCACTATTGAATTCTTCCAATTCTTTAAAGAGGACTTATTCCCAATCCTCTTTAAGCTTTTCCATAAAGGTAAAGGTAAAGGCCCTCCCGTTGATCGTCGATTTGCTCGAGCGGGCCCAGTAACGTCTCCATTAGAGACTTTGTTGTTACTGTGTCTGGCATATCGAATACTCTCGGTAGCTTGCCGGGCTCTCCGAGAGGGGCGGAGGAATCGAACTCGGGTCGGCCATGCTGGCCGCTTGTAAGGCGAACGCCCTACCCGCACACTTCCATACAGTTTCTATGAAGCCAATATCACCCTGTTACCAAAAGCAGACAGAGATAACACAAAGAAAGAGAATTACAGGCCGATATCCCTGATGAAGAGAGATGCAAAGATCCTCAACAAACTATTATCAAATAGAATCCAACGACTCATCAAAAAGATGATACACCAGGACCAAGTAGAATTCATCCCAGGGAGCAAGGAAACATTTGGAAATCAATCAACATATTCCATCATATCACAAAAGAAAAAAGAAAAGATAAAAAGCACATGATCAAATCAATAGATGCAGAGAAAGCATTTGACAAGTTCCAGCACCCATTTATGATAAAAACCCTTGTCAAAATGGGAAGAGAAGGGACTTTTCTCAATATAGTTAAAGCCATCTACCACAAGCCAACAGCAAGCATCATCCTCAATGGGGAAAAACTGAGAGCCTCCCCTCTAAGAGCAGGAATGAGACAAGGATGTCCACTCTCTCCACTGCTGTTCAATATTGTACTGGAAGTACTTGCAATAGTGGGTAGGCCAGAAAAAGATTAATGGCACTCAGGTAGCAAAGGAAGAAATCAAGCTCTCACTATTTGCAGAGATATGATACTGTACTTAGAGAACCATAAAACCTATACCAAGAAACTCCTAAAAACAATAGACTTGTATAGTAAAGTTGCAGGCTATAAAATCAATACCCAAAAATCCATGGCTTTCCTATATGCAAATATTGAGATAGAAGAAAGTAACATGAAAAAAAAATCCCATTCACAATTGTGCCCCAGAAAATCAAGTACCTAGGAATCAGCTTAACTAAGGAAGTAAAGGACCTGTACAAAGAAAACTACAAAACGCTATTTCAGGAAATAAAAGAGGACACTAGAAAATGGAAAGATATCCCCTGCTCATGGATGAGGAGAATTAACTTGTCAAAATGGCAATACTTCCCAAAGCACTGTACAAATTCAATGCGATCCCTATTATGATACCCATAAAATTCTTTAAAGAAATGAAGCAAACACTTCTGAAATACATATGGAAAAATAAGCCCCCACGAATAGCTAAAGCAATTCTTGGGAAAAAGAAAATGGGACGAATCAACCTCCCTAACTTCAAACTCTACTACAAAGCAGTAATAATTAAAACAGCATGGTATTGGAACAAAGACAGAGATGCAGACCATGGAACAGGGCTGAATATACTGACATCTCCCCCCAAACATATGATCATTTAATCTTTGACAAGGGAGCAAGAAATGTGAAGTGGAGCAAGGAAAGCCTCTTTAACAAATTGTGCTGGCAAAACTGGATGGCTACATGCCAAAAAGAAATGGGTTTAGATCTCTACTAACACCATGTATAAAAGTAAGATTAAAATGCATTAAAGACCTCAACATCAGACCAGAATCCATAAGGTACATTGAAGACAAAGTTTGCAAAACCCTCCATGATATTGAAGCTAATGGCATCTTCAAAGAGGTCACGTCACTGGCCAAGCAAGTGAAAACAGAGATAGACAAATGGGATCATCTTAAACTAAGAAGCTGCTGCACCTCAAAGGAAACAGTGACCAAAATACAGGCTGTCTAGAGAATGGGAAAGGATATTCGCCCAATACACATCCGACAAGGGGTTGATATCAAGGATATACAAAATACTGGTTGAACTCCACAAGAAAAAAACATCCAACCCCATTCAAAAAATGGGGCAATGAAATGAACAGAAACTTTCTCAAAGAAGAAATCCGAATGGCTAAAATGCACATGAGAGAGGCTGGAACGAGAGCACAGCGGGTAGGGCGTTTGCCTTGCATGCAGCCAACATGGCCAACCCTGGTTCGATTCCTAGCATCCCATATGGTCCCCCGAGCACCGCCAGGAGTAATTCCTGAGTGCATGAGCCAGGAGTAAACCCTGAGCATCGCAGGGTGTGACGCAAAAAGAAAAAAAAAAGCTAAATAAATAAATAAATAAAAGGCCCATGAGAAAATGCTCTACATCATTAATCATCAGGAAAATGCAGATCAAAACCACAATGAGATATGATCTCACACCACAGAGACTGGCCCATATCTAATTAACAAAAGCAACAGGTGCTGGCGCGGACGTGGTGAGAAAGGGACCCTCCTTCACTGCTGGTGGGAATGCCGACTGGTTCATCCCTTTTGGAAAACAGTATGGACGATTCTCCAAAAATTAGAAATTGAGCTCCCATTTGATCCAGCAACACCACTCCTGGGAATATATCCCAGAGAGGCAAAAAAGTATAGTCGAAGTGACATCTGCACTTGTTTGTTCATTGCAGCACTCTACAATAGCCAGAATCTGGAAAAAACCTGAGTGCCCAAGAACAGATGACTGGTTAAAGAAAC